ATACACGGATAATAGGCAACGAAATACGACTACCGCTCATCAAAGCATATAACTTAAACGGTTGAATAAGAAGCTCGCTATTCAACAGAACTGAAAATCGCAGGGTGTTTTAGGTATAAAAAATCCAAGATTTTGCAACAGTGCCAAAGCATACGCTTTTAAAAAAAGAGCTTCATTTAGTAGAATAACATTCAAGCTTTATTTTCGGCATTTGATTCAGAAAACCATGGCTTCATGAAAACTATTCGCATACATTTTATCATTCCTATATTAGCATTTGTTTAATTATTCTCTTACATCTGTTTAATTATACACATTTAAATTAAAGCAAAATTTACTAATTATCAGAATCTCCTTAGCAACTGGATAAACTTCACGTCAAGCTTAGCTTAGTAAATCAGACGCAATTTTTGGACCTCGCGATTTGGAATTTTTCAATTTCTGACAAAATTAATCGTTAACAAATGAAAAATCATTCGAAAAACTGATGTGGTTGCAAGAACAACGCATATTTTTCCTACGATGTTGTTTGATTAAAATACTGCTCCGCGAAAACATAAGACAGCTTTAAATTCTACTATGAAGCAATTACGAAAACAATACGATCTAACATTAATTTGAATGCTTTACAAAACTAAAGCAAGTTTATCAAAATAAGCAAAATCGTAAGGAATGGGATACTTCCTGTGTAAACTTGAAGAACAATCGTGAGAAAACTTCGAATATATATAAATATATATATATTTCAAATCTCCTGACTGTAAAATGAAATATTTTAAAATTTATTTAAATTAATTTAATATAAAATATTCAACGCTATATTTCGCTATATCCACCACAGATCAGCTTACATTTGAGCTTTTCTGTGATTAATTTTGAAGCAACAGAATAATTTTACTGACAAAAAATTTCAATTGAAGGAAAAAAGAATTAAGACTCTGTAAAATTTTCTCGATAGAATTGAGAAGTTCAAAAATATGGGTAAGTCGAAGGTAATAAATAACCATGTGCAGTGAATAATAAATGGAAGCTATGTACCAATAATTAAAACAAATGTAAGTTAATTGGTCAGTACTGACAAGCCTAAAAAAGACTGCAAAAAACTCTTCATAAAATTAATATATTTTCTAAATACTGCTGTATCTAAATTAGTATTTGTATCAGTTTCAACACGAGTATATTTAAGGATAGTTAAAAGTGACTTTTCTACATAACTTAAACAGACAGCAATTAAGAAAGGCTAAAAGTTTAAAGAGACATTTATTAAAGTGGTATCATCTAACATGTACAAGCTATATGTAGAAGGACTAAGGCTGAGAAATGATAAAAATTTAACTATGATTATAAACAAAACACGCACAGTTTTCTTACATCATAAAGCACGATTGACAAATCTTTTCTACTATTGGGAAACGTCTGCAAGATTCTGAGTATGCAAGAATGCCGGGATATTTCACAGCAAAAATCACAAAATTTCACTCTATCATAAAACTGTATTCCAAATTATTCCATTGATGACACTACAAACTTTAGCTACAAAACTTATTGCTTTTATTACAAATAAGCTCAGAGCTAATTAAAGAGCTAAATGTCGAAGTCAGTTTTTCAGGAATTAACAGAATTTTTCTTAAAACTTTTTGCAACCCAATCCAAAAATATGTAATTTCAAAATATCAGTTCCATAGCTCAGTTTAATTTAAGATATCAAACCTGATCAGTTTAGAGCTAAAATGTTAATCGTATAATACGCCAGAAATTTTATATGTGATATTTCATATTTAAAAAAAATTATATGTGATATCTTATATTTATAAAAAAAATGATATGTGATATCTCATATTTAAAAAAAAATATATGTGATATCTCATATTTAAAAATATATATATATGTGATATCTTATATTTAAAAAAAATTATATGTGATATCTCATATTTAAAAAAATTATATGTATTCTCATATTTAAAAAAAATTATATGTGATATCTCATATTTAAAAAAAATCAGTTACATAGACTACTAAAATCTGAATTTTTTAAAAATAATACATAAGTCAACATATCGTAAAATAATTATATTAAAGTAAGCTTTCAGAATATAATGGGCTTTCGATTATAACAACTGAATATGCAAAATTATATGTGATATCTCATATTTAAAAAAAATCAGTTACATAGACTACTAAAATCTGAATTTTTTAAAAATAATACATAAGTCAACATATCGTAAAATAATTATATTAAAGTAAGCTTTCAGAATATAATGGGCTTTCGATGTATAACAACTGAATATGCAAGTTCTCTTTTTAATAAATACAATACGGTAGAAATGATACGCGACAATTAACGTACAAAATTAATATAATATTGAAATTAATTTAATATTTCAGATATAAAATTTTAAGTTTACATCTGTAAACGGTTATTATCATTTTAAAATCATAACTTGATTTGCGAAGAAAAGAACATCTATGAAAGAGCCCCGTTTAATTTTAAAGGTCTATTTTATACAACCTGCCTGCTACGAAACTGTGGTAGTTTAGCATCTGAATGTTAAATTTTTTTTTAACTATTTACAATTATCTTCTAGGTCAACTTCTAATTTAAAATGCTAGCTTAGTTACAAATGAGCAAATAACTCCTACAGCAAATAATTCTTTATATCTAACAAACCTACTCATATTTCAAATATACATTACATATATATATATGATTAGAATACATATATATGTATACACGAGTGTGTGTATGAATTTTGAGTTTGCCACTAGCTTCCAAAAAATATTGTATTACGTTTAATATTGCGAATAAGAAGTTACAATATTTATGCACATTTTGATGAATTACTGCAACTGAAGTTTCTCATAATAAGGTAATTCAACGCATATGCATGTAAACAGCATTGACAGTCTTAAGATTCACATGTTACAAAGAAGATTTACAAGCTCTTGGATTGAGTCAACAAATTAAACTAATTTCAAATTTGGAATAGTTTTTGAAAATTATTTTGAAATCTGCAGAAGTTTATGAATGTTAATTCTCAAATTAATATGCAAAAGGTATATTCATGTCGACTAATTCTAATCATGTACAGTTCATACACATTCACCAGCGTTGCCTTCCTCAAAGATCATTTACTGTATCAATTGACATAAGTAGCGAATAATTTTGCATATAAATATAGTTATTTTGAGTACAAAGCTGCTAGAAACAAATCTTTTCTTTATGTTCCATTAAAACAGTAACTTTATAAGAATTACGACAAGTATAACATGATTAATTCCTTACGAAATAAAACATAATTTGTACATTTATTTCAAATTATGTCCCGCAGCAATGGATAAAGACCTATAAAGCGTTCTTTAGCAAACAGGCCCTCATATATTCTTAATTTAGTTAAAAGCGAAGAATTGAATTCTTCCGATGGTATTATTTCAACATAGCAAATTTTAATCGTTATCGCATCGAAATCAAGCAAAAATCTTTGTACAGGAGAATGCCATACTTACAGTGACAAGAAGATAATTGAAAATTAATGTTACACACAAAAAAAAAATAATAATAAATAAAATAAATAAATAAATAAAATTATTAAATAATTCAAAACATTTTAATTTGGATTTCCTTTTAAAACAAATTTATACATAAAATACTTAAAAACACTAGACAGAATTGCTGTTTCCTGAAGTTTCATAAAATATTTAATTTCCATAACAGTGTAACATATCGATACAGGAAAACTTTACAACTTCAGGAATATGACTGTCAAAATGTTTTGGTTACCTATATATTTAAACCAGTTATAAAGTACTGCGCGATCAGAAGAAGATTCTTAAATCTGGATTATTTATCCTAATCTATCATAATTAGTTACTTATCTATCATTAGTAACTAAGCTAACATGAGTGACATAATTTTGAACGCAATAAAAAAGTGTAATTTTTAATCCTTTCTCTTGGATGTTAAAACTCTCGATTATTTCTAAGCAGACTAGCATATAAATTTCATATGCATGTATCCAGAGTAAAAATTAAGCCCATATATCTGACAATTATTTTACGAAATGTTGAGCTTAGAAATATTTAACTTCGTTGATTTTGCATAAACTGAACAAGATAGCATTAAAATTGGGGGGGGGGCGGAAACCTTGTTTTATACCTCTAAATAACTCAAGTTTTCATTTGTTATTTTATAAAACTGAAAGCTGAAATACATTCTACAAACATAATATATTTAAAGATACAACCACTAAAAAACACAATGCTTTTAAAAAAATTAGATTTTTAAGTCATAAATTTCAGTACACACCATTTCCATGAATTTTCCCTCCTGCTGTACAGTCAACTTGTTCTTACGAAATGCAAGCATTTCTGCTAAACCATACTCACTGCGCGCTGGGTACCATGCTGATCGAACAGCTTTCAGCTGTTGAGAAAACAGAAAGCCACCGCTTAAGGGCAAGCCGCGGCATCCGTTCTCTGTCTTTATTAAAATAATTCGTTTGGCACTGCCGATTGATTGCAAGCAAATATAATTTCTAAATTAATTTAAAACAAAAGAAAAGCTGCACATTCTATTAAAATAGTAATTATATTAAAAATTAATTAGCTTGCAATATAGTATTCTATGATGGTATTTTGCACAGCAAACTTTGCAATGAATCGTTGATAGAGAAGAACTGCTAGATTGGACACTTAATTTATAGCATTAGAGTTCACTTTTTCATAGACTCAAGTAAAAGGACATTTGTATAAACACTTTCAAAAATTAACAATCTTAATTTTATGAAAAATTATCCTTCAGTTTTATCAAAGTTTTTAATAAATACATAAACTAATAAAATGGATTGATTTTTTACATAAACATCTATTTCAGCCGGTATTAAAAAATCAGCCTAAACATTCTTATTAATTAGTTAAAAAAATTGTTTTTAAATATTTAATCTGAAACATGTTACATTAATTTATCTGGTGTATTTTTACAGCAGCTGCAAGAATAACTTTAAATGCATTATATTACATAAGTAAGATACATATTTTTGTTTTCAGTTTAAGAACAAATGAAGTATTATTACTCACTAGAAAATTTTAAAGAAATTAATTTATAAAATCTTAAAGACTGCAAAAACAGTGAAGCAGAAATAAATTTTAAAAATTTACATATAAATATGAGGCAGGAGAAAAAATCCTTTAGAGAATTTGTCAATAAATATGGTCACAAACTATTTTCCTCATTATTGCTCACTGCAATTATTTTTCATAGGAAATTGGTTATTACCTTAAATAACCTTAAAAATTAAGCCGGTTGACACCACATTATAACCTTAAAATTCAGTCACGTTGACATAGGTAAAAAAGTTAATCAAGTGTATTGCAAGATATATAAAATAAGCGTATAAATAGAATTACAGCATAACATCTAAATATGGAAAAATAAAAAATAAATTCACCTGAAATTTGCAGTTTGACTACTGATAATATAACAACAGAACTATTATTGGATGCTCAACAAATGCTTCATTTTTCTTGAAAATTCTTCCTCCAATCACATGCTAGAATCGTGTTTGTTTTTATAAAATTCGTTATTAAATTCAGTTTTCAGCTTACCGATTCACATAAACTGGATACAGGAAAGTTATGGATGCGAAGAATACAAGATATGTGAGATTACTTATAATGTCTCCATAATTAGCAATGGAATTTATATCAACTTAAATGTATTCTTAAATTGTCATTGAGATCTATAAATGTATTTGCATTTGGACGTCGCTTCAAGGGAAAGATACACTATCACTTGCAAATTAGAATTCAGGTAGGAGTTTAAAATTCAGATAACATCATAAGAAGAAGTAAAATGAACTGCAGTGAACTATTAACATTACAGGTTTATAAATACTTCTAGTTATTAACAATGCCATAAACAATTTTATTGTAGCTTTACAGCTAATGCATTTTAATTATACGAATGATAAATTATCTAGAAATTTTGCTTCAAACCTCAGAACTGCTAAATGGCAGTTCCTTGTAGGTAAGCATAATAAAGAAAACTTATCAGGAAAAGAAGTTATCATATATACAGCAGAAGTAAAAAGAGTAATAAAATCAATCGTAAATTCGTTAAAAGACAGAACGAAGCGACATCCATTGCTCATGAAAGAAAGATATCCCTATAATACATTTACGTGCTTTCGCTACATGTGGTATCACTACAGTGGAGAAAGAGGACGAGGTCATCGAGACCACGTCCCGTTGCCATCCAGTGGATTAGAGGTAAGCGTCTGCAAATACTGTCGGTACTTTTCAAGAGCGTTCAATGCTGTCCCGGGACAAGTGAAGGCTGTATCTACAGGCGCTCGTGACAGAAGGGGTATATTCGGCCGCAAGGCTAACATTTCTGGCTTCACATCGGGCGATTTGGAGTCTCCAATAATCCTTTCGATTGAGAAGCTTGGTTTCGATGCCATCGCCTTCGTGCACTGGGAAGAGGAGGAGGAAACATCACTCGGAGTATCGAAAATTCCTGGCGGGCCGGTACAGATTGGAGTCGCCATTGGATTTTGCATAGAAGTTAAATTGATAGGGTGTAAAGATACCCTCGCCAGGTCCTGGGGGGAAAGCAGGGGGATAGGAGGAGGTAGGTGTGGCATGTAAGGGTAAACTAAGTGCGGATGCCCTGCGAATAGTCCGTGGCGGTAAGGATCAAGCGTGGCAGCCATAAATGCAGAAGGATCTTTGTGGGCATAAGCCTGTTGCCTTTTGTAACGTTTACGTCGTCTTAAAAAACTGCCGTTATCAAACATATCTTCAGAAGCTGGGTCCAAACTCCAGTAATTCCCTTTACCTGGATTACCTGGTTCTCTTGGAATCTTAACAAAACAGTCATTGAGGCTCAAATTGTGTCGAATAGAATTTTGCCATAATGGGTACTTCTCTCTGTAAAAACGAAAGCGATTCTTGATAAATTCACAAATACCACTAAGCGTGAGTTTCTTTTCTGGAGACTGAAGAATAGCCATAGTAATAAGGGCGATGTAAGAGTACGGAGGCTTCACTAAATGTCCTTTACTCTTTCCTGATCCCCCTTCTTCAGCATTCGAGTCCTGGCGGTCAGAAGAATGGTCAATGGAAGTGTCCGTTGTGTCCGCTTCGGCAACACCTCCACCATCGAAATCGCTATCTTCCAGGTTACTGTCCGAATCCACAGACACCAATGCGTCCATTTTAGAATCATGCGGAGGCATGGTCATAAGAGGAGAACACACGAGGTCTTGAGTGGGACAAAAACCAGGACGCGGGACCAGCGCGCCTCCGTGCTGCACAGCGTCCATAATAAAGTCGCCGTTGGTCAGCGAGAATGCCTGGCTTCGTGGGCCTGGCTCCGAGGCCAGATTATAGCGCATCAGCCTAGCGACCGCCTCTTGGGAATACACAGTTTACTCTTAATCACTCCACGGGATCACACGGAAGTACCGCGACACCGGTCGGACCTCAGGCGGGAAAACTACGCCGCCTGAAGCGCGTTTCCAACTCCAGTGAACACTGTCCGCCATTTCATTCGCGAGTTACGCAGCCAATCGCGATGGGGAGAAGTCACGAGGCCACGCCAAGGCGGCTCTAAAGTTCCACGCTCCTCCCTATTTTCATTACATATCATGAGTCAAAATAACCATTCGGACGAGTGAGATACGCGGGAAGATGCTCCATCATGAATTTCGGTTTTGAGTCGTTTGCTCTAGGAAAAAGCGAAACTTAGCCGCTCAACCAATATTAGTGGAAATAAGTCACAGGTAAGTTCCGTTTTAAATTCATTAACTCGGTGCTTCCTTTTTGAGTGCTGCACTCTCAACAATACTCGACGCATCCTAAGTAACCTAGAAGCGTTTAATATCATCGGATGAATACGTGAGATATATAGAGTAGAGATTTTGATGAATATTTGCATATTCATGATATAAAGTGAATGTTGGCTGATGATACGCACGTGCCAAATAAATAAAACCAATTCAGAAACAGCGTACAATTCAGAAATTCAGAAACAACGTATAGTTTTGTCAAGACGTGTGTCCGTTAAAGTGAAAGGGGGAAGGCGAGCAGAAAAGAGAAGTTTACGTTTGAAATGCGATTAAATATTTAAAAAAATTTCTAGAGTTAGCGAAATATTTTCTGGTACATCAGATTTCTAAATATTAGATTATTAGATTTGCTTTTTCGATCGTAGATTTTATTTTCGTACATTGGCCAGCATGTATAGAAACCTTTTCTTAAATGAAAGAATAAACAATTTATAATAGAATTAGATCTGTATATTTAATTAGTAATTCATTCACCCTTGTAGAATTACAATTTATCCTCTCAAAATTTTTAATCTCCTGCTTATTTTTATTGCGTTTTTTAAAATATATAAAATAATTTCGTTTTATATATTATTTAGATTAGATATTTAGATTATTAAAGATATTATTTAGATTGCCTGGCTTCGTGATATTTTAATACATTTACTACGTTATCTGTTCTAGTACTGAACAAACTCCTATAAGAACTTCTTTCCATTAACTTACGAATGTATTACAAATGTTATGAAATACATAGTTTAACGAAAATGCGTTGAATGATTTAATCTTTCTTTCCTCTGTACAGATTGCATAAGAATTTAGCTTTAGTTTTAATCCAATGTCAAATGTTGCATTTACGTAGTAATTGCATATTTATAAATGCCTAACTTAAATGCATTAAAGGTTTACTTATTGCCAAATGCTGTATATTTTTATTACATATTTCAAAGAAGTAAAAAATTGGAAGGTAAATATAAATTTAGTTTAAAAAAATATATAAACGCAAATCTAATTTTTTATTTCCGTGAAATCGGTAACAAAAACAGAGTTAAATCAATTGAAGGGTACATATTTAAAAAACATAAATGATCCAAAGAAAATCTGAAAACTACCATGTAAGAGTCTTTGAAAAAACTTTTATTACATATATTATATTATAATTTTATTACATGTTTGATATAACATGTGTATTCGGTATCTAGCATAATCTTTCAGGGTTACTACTCACCTGTTTTGGTAAATCTATTTTTTTCACCCAGATGTTTCCAATGAATAGAAAATAATGCAAATATATATCGAGAAGATGTTGTTGCACAATTAATAGTGTTGAGTTGTGCTTATGATTTTTACTAAGGATTCAAGATTTGTTCAGAATAAAAACATAATTAAAGAGATTTCATTATTATTATTATCTAAGAATTTCAAATTATCATAAGAACTGCTGTCATAAGACCGCTATGCATTTTGTTCAGTCTCTCAGTTATGACGTACAGAATGCCGTCATATTTTGCATAGTAGATAGCAATTTCGAAGTCAAACAACAAAAATCGGCGTTATATTTTCAAAGGACTAGTTTCGATGGTTTTTACCGAATCATCATCCTCAGCTGCAAAAGCGCATATCGTTATATTTTCAAATTTTCACAGGTCTAGTTTCTAGTACTTTTACCGAACCATCATCCTGTGAAAATTTGAAAATATAACGCTGATTTTTGTTGTTTGACTTCTAAATTAATATTTGTTCGGCGTGTTATTGTATCCCAACTTTAGTATATAGAAATCAAGTACAAAATATAATAATGTTTTACATTATAATCAGAAGATAGTATTTAGAGAATTTAAATTCAACTTTCCTGAAATTCTTTGAGATTCTGTGCTTGTACTCATTTCGTTAAATGTCTTCTTGAAAAGGAGTATAACTGATATAAACGTTTCAGAATCAACATCAGAATTAATATCAACTTTTCGTTCTCTCTGCTAAGAATGTTATACAAAATTTTATCAAATTTGATTTTGAAATTCATGAAATAATTACCGTGTAGAATTTTTTAATAATGTGTTACTTTAATTTTATTTTTTTAATGAATGAATTTAAAAAGCATCTTAATTATTTCATTGTGCCTTTTGTCATGGACAATAAAACATATAAACCAACCACGCAATAAAAATTTTCAAAGCAACGAACATAAAATACTGGTTGTTTTTCCATACTCCAACAAAATGCTAACTTCTGATTTTTTTAAGGTGTTTTTTTTCCCCTTTAATCCAGCTCAGAGTTATCAGAAATATCTGAAGTTAGAGCCAAATTGCAGTTATAGATAATAAATTATACAATGCAGCCCGATTATATCTAAACTATTTATTCATGCATTATTAATTGTAGTAATTTCTTATTACATTTTTAGTAAATGAGCATTACAGATACAGCTTACATGCACATTTACTAGTAAATTTTTTTTTATTGAATGTAGTCATTGCAAAAGTACTTTCTCTCTAACATTTTTATTTGTAAAAACAACTTTGATAAATACCAATTCGGTTACCTAAAACCATGAAGCATAAAAACGGCTTAAAAAATTTATAACAAAGAGGATTTTGTATTATTAATTTGTAAAATCTGAACTACATTATTCCTGAGTAGTATTAAAATACAGTATAACAGAAGGGACATTTTTAAATATTACGCTAAATTTCTAACTGAATCCAAGTAGCGTAAAAAGATCATATGCCTATTTGATTGGTATTCGATTCACGTTTTCTTGTTGATTAAATAAAATTTGCGTTATTCTTTAGCACTTACCAATTACATTTAATAATTTAGATGCAATCCTGCAGCGCAGGATTTGGAAGAGGGGGATTACAAGAGAAATATCGGATTTCTAACTTGTTGAGACCGCTATGGACCTGTGCAAAATCTAGCAGCGAGCGGAGGCATACAGGGATACGGGATTCTTCGTCTATTAGTACTGCTGTTTAGATGGTTGTTAGCACGGAAAAATATTTCCTTCCAAAAATAGAAATCAATATCTATTCGAAATCAGTATCTATTCGAAAACAGAAATCACTATCTACAAAGCATAATTTTTTCTGATTTACCAAGGGAAAATAATTCTCAATTTCTAGGGGGAAAGAAAAAAAAAAAAAAAGAAAGGGAAAAAAAATTTTTTTTTAACGTAAAATAATTAATTCTATTTAGATTTCTTAAAAGCAAACCGTGAGGATAATAAATTTTGTCTACATTAGAAATTAAGCAATTTATGTTTAAGAAGACAGTTTTTTTGTTTAAATGGAAAGGAGCATTACTTAAACTAAAATTTTTATATTCCCTTATTTAGTAGTTACTGAAAATTAACTTATTTTTATGCTAGTGAGCATCTTGTGGTGGTTTCCTGCTTGTGTGAAAGAATATCTTACGTTCAATATTGCTTCTTCTGGTTTATACTATACGTTGAAAAAACATTATTGTTTATCTGTGTTACTTGGAATGAATAATACAATTTATGATTATTTTAACATATTTATGCTCGAGAAAGGATTGAAATATGAAATAGCAACCGTCGAAAATTGCCCCCCCCCAAAAAAAAATTTATTTCAAAACTTACGAGGACAATGTGATCAAAAAAGTAATCGGAATCGATACATCCGATAATTCAGTTGTTTCAAGAAACTGGCAGATAAATAGTTTTTTTATATATTCCAATGCGTCCACTTTTCTTCAGAGATGATATATTTATAACTTAGCGCGTTTGAAAGTCTAAGAAACTTAAAAGTGTTTTGGAAGTCGAAATAAATAAAAGTTACTTTACAAAGTAAATATTAATAAAGCAGTGGAACAGACATAGTCTTACTGCATTTCTCGTAAGGCGAGAGGGGTGTTGGTGTATTTAATTATGGCAAAGCACACTAGGGCTATCTGCCGAAGGGGAGGAATGCCTTCGTGGAGGACTTTCTCGTATGCGCGTTACACATGGGGAAAATCACGAAAACACCCATGCAGCCCAGCCCGTTCGCGGGATTCGAACCTCGGACTGAAGTACCAGTGTTCAGCGTCTTTACTGCTCGGCCGTAAGGCGAGGGGGAAACAGTGTTAAAAATGTGTGAAGTTCGGATTTTAAATTAGACTTCTGGTAGGAATATTCATAACGAAAGACTACTTCGTAATTTCACCAACGGCCGAGAGGATAATATCGCTCAGTACTGGTAATTTCACCCGGGTTTAAATCCCGGTGAACAGGCTGGCAGCGTGAGAAAGTGAGCAGAAGCCAGTTTCACTTAAAAATTAAACCAGGAAGTCATCTTTTCTCTCTGGCAGATAGCACTACCGTCTTTGCCGTAATCCAATAAATTCAACATGTCAAATCCAATCCTTCCTTTAGCATTAAGGTGTACATTTAATTTCTCATTAATGCGGTTGTAAGAGTGCTCATTATTGCAGATGCAAGAGTTCAATCCAATCTAATGTTGATCACTAGGGATGAAAATTAACATTTCTTTGAATTTCTGCAAATTAGAAAAAAAGAGTAAAACATCCGCACTCCATTATTCAGGAGGCCCACTGGCGACCGAGCGGTAAAGTTGCTTAA